CTTGACTTGGACTCGACTCGGACTTGAGTGCAAAGACTTGAGACTTACTTATGACTTACAAAGCAATGACTTGGTCCCACCTCTGCCACATTGTGTTTTAGTCTTTGAAGAAAAATGTGTTTTATGATCATTTTCAATTAAATAACATACCTTAAATAGTAGTAGTAGTCTTAGAATCCCAGCCCGCGGGCCACTTGCGATCTGTGACAATCTCACATATAGCCTGGAACGATAGATGTCAATAATAATGTTCCTCTTGAGGTTTTTGTTAATTTCTTTTTTATTTAAAATTATTATTTAAAAATGAAAAGAAATTTTTTTTATGCATTTATATTTTAAAAAACAAGCAGATTTTTCTAAAATACTGTATCTCGAGTTTTTTTATATTTTAAAAAACAAGCAGATTTTTCTGAAATATCTCGAGTTTTTTTTTCTTTCTGAAAATCAAACACTGATGTGCTCCTCCAAAATAAATGACAGTGACCTTCAGACACCTGCCTTAAACCATATATCTCCTTGTAATCAAAATAATACTTCGAAACTGAATGAACTTCAGCCTCAGGTTTTAAAGTTGAAGATATCATTCAAGGTTCGGGATTTTGACTGTTTCAAGTTCAAAAGTTTCAAGATGTGCTTCATGACATACACATAGTTACAATCTCTGTCTCTGACACTTGGATCTAAACTCAGGACTTGGCACTGAGCTCAGGACAGGTCAGCTGACGTCTGCTGCTGCAGAAACGCTGTCATTTACACGAGCTGATAACCAGCAGTTACAAGGGTTGTCTGTTTGTGTGCGTCAGACATCATTTCTTTTCTGCTCTGGGTGACTGGTGCTCAAAGATCACACTGTTGCACACATACAGTACATGTAGAATAAAATTGAACTTTACTTTATAATCAAGTTTTTTCTGTCTTTTACAGTGTCCTTAGTTTAAAAAAAAAAACGAAGCACAGAAAAGACAGCAGACACATTTTGGTTGCCGAAAGTGAACGTTGAATGTTTTTATTTATTCAAATGTGTTTTTTGGAAGTCCGGAAAAAAGTCATTAGCATTAGTAAATATTTAATGAGGTGATTCTGGGCTCAGTCGCTAGAACAAAGTTTTGTTTCATAAGACGTGACGTTAGTATTGTTAATGACGATCATAATCAAAAAAATATGCATGCAAAAATATTTGGCTGGTGCAACTAAAAAAATATACGGTCCTCGATATTACAATTAATTGCAATATTATTATGGTTAATCCATGGTAAATCCAAATTAGACAATTGATTTAAACAATTTCAATTCACCTAAACATCTGGTATAGATTAGCATTTACGACTTCAATAATAATAATAAAAAAATCTCCATTCATAGTTAAGGCATAATAATCATAATATTGTGATTAATTCACAACTTTTCTACTAAAAAAAAAAAATCAATTTCGACATTCACCACATTAGTCGGTTCGGTTCGGTTCGGATCGGTGACGGTACGATATTTTTACGAAATTTCAGGATCGAATATTGCGACATGCCATAAACAGGGACGATATTGCCTTAGTAACGGCATGCCGGAGGAGAAAAAAAAAAGGTATTCGAATGATATCGGTATCAACAGATACTCCAAGTTGCAGTTTCGGATCAAATATGATGTCATGCAACCCCTAATGGAGAAACACATGGACTTGGTGTAGTCTGCGGGAGCCTGGAGATTTGATGAAGCTGACATGAAATGATTCTGGAGCAGAAGCAACTTTCCTGAGCTGAAAGTGAATTCCTTTCCCTTGGGTTCTTATCTAAGTTGTCAGTGAAAATATGTGTGCCGGAGTTCCCCTCACTATCGTTCTGCGTGGAATCTAAGTAAACACACACACACACATACAGGTTAATAATAAATGACTCCATCCATCCATCCTTTTTCATCCGCTTATCCGTTACTGGGTGACGTTACTGGCCGCTTATCCGTTACTGGGTGACGGGGGGGCAGATCACCCCAAAGTAAAGAACAACAAAGTTTTAGTTTCATTTAAACTTTTTTTTTTTTAAATCTATATTGTGTTCCTTGACTTTATGCACGTTAGCATTTAATGCTTTGCCTTTCATTAACCTGTGTATTCTTTCAAATGAATTCCCTATGTGATTTTGAAAAATGTGGCAATGCTAGCTTTTGCTTTACTTGGGGGGGAAAATATTTTCAAGATTTACGAGAAATACTTCGAGGTATGATTTCTGGACCATAGCTTATACCTAGGTAGACCTTAAACAGAGAGAAACGGACGAATGCCAAAAGTCAGTATTGCGATTAATCGCAGGATGATCACGTGATTGGTTGCAATTAACATTGTTAGTTGTTTACCAGCAGTAGATTCTGTTTTACATCCACACACTCTTTGGTAAAGGTGTCTAACCAACAGTTAGACCACAAAGTCTAGACCCAGATGATGTTATCTGTATGTCGGCTTTTTAGAGCATGGAGTGTCAAACATGCGGCTTGTGGTCCAAAAAAACGGCCCAGTAGGGGGTCCAATCCGGCCCGCTTGATTTGCTTGAATTTTGAAAGTAAAAAGAAAACACTTCATGATGTTGATGTTTTTTTTTCAAATTATATTTCATTAAATATGAATATTTTCTAATATACTTCATCTTCTTTGCACGGAAAAACAAAGAAGAAAAACATAGACTTATTGTTATTTATAGGTATTTATGTTATAACTACACTGGTCCCGCCGTATGTGGCCCCTCAACCAAAATTAGTTTGACACCGCGCCTTAAGAGGGTTACTCAGGTCCTGACTTCCTGAAACTGCTGACTTTCAGTCCTCGTTGACAGGAAGTGAGGATGTTTCTCCTTGTCTTAGTGGTTATTTTCACCTAAGCTTTAATAGAAGGCAGAGCCGGACAAATGTCCAGAATTGTTTCATTCCTCGTACTTGATAAACACCACCATCTGATAGGCTTCCTCTCTCTTACTTTTAAAACACAGTTGAAGAGAGAGACCGCTGACCACTGGTGTGTGATAGAGTACATTCCTCAAACCTCTCATCCTCCTCCATATCCTGTTTGTCTACACATTCCTGCGCTTTCTCAGTGCAAGAGCGGTAGAATTTGTGTTCCATATTTTTCGGAACGACTTTTTACGTTTACATGAATCATTTTTCCCCATGTTTAAAACCCTTTAAGTAGATGCATCTCACTGGCTAGCCACAAGTGTTTGAGTCAGTGAGTAGAATTTCTTGGTCTTAGCAGCAGGGGGCGCTCTGAGCACAACTAGCACACATTTTAACATTTTCTTCATGTCCTCAGGCACTGCTAAAAATGGACTGTCAGGGCCTAGTGGCCAGATTGGTCCTGGACTTCGTTCTCCTAACTACTGCGGTGGAGTTAGCGGGACGATGGAGGGAACTAGCGGAAAAACTCGCCAAAGTTTCTCGCCAGCAGATGGATGCATACGAGGCACCACACCGGGATAAACACGGCGTGGTGGACACTGAGGTACAAAAAGTATTCATCGTGGAAGCAATGTTAGGCCTGTGACGATAACAAATAAGAAATTGTATTGACAACATATAGACGCACAAATAAACGATAAATGGGCTTCACGCCGCTCATTCCGCTACGGAACAAACTCGACAAAAGTGCCGAGACCAATGTGAAACCTCTTGTCGTCCAGCCTGTTTGGAGGCGAGAGACGAGGAAAACAAACACACAAGCATGTGGCAAAATATCGAGGCCAGCAAAATAATCAGGCTAATTTCATTTATCGTGTGATTAATGGATTTCGTGATTATCATCCCAGGCCTAAGCAACATCAATAAATGATGATTAGCTTCTTGGTAAAACAGGAGTCATACAATACTAGCTGTTCTGGGCTTTTTCGTTTACAACGATATCTTTAATATGTCTCTCTACTGCCCCCTAAAGGCCATGTGGAAGCCAGCATACGACTTCCTGGTTACATGGGCAGCGCAGATTGGTGACAGTTACCGTGACGTGATCCAGGAGCTGCACCTTGGCCTTGACCGAATGAAGAACCCCATCACCAAACGCTGGAAGCACCTGACAGGAACATTGGTCCTGGTGAACAGTCTCGATGCGCTGCGAAGTTCGGCCTTTAGCCCTGCCTCCCAGGATGACTGTGCCATCTGAACCACCCCCCCGTCAAACCATTTCAAAGTGCTGAATGATCATCAATGAACCCCACATGTCTAGCAGCTGTGGAACATTTACAGTATTCTGAGACATTTTACTGTCATAGTTTCTTTTTTTTTTTTTTAAACTGCTTATGGTTTTAGCTGAAAGTCAAAAAAGACTTAATGTGACACTTATAATTTAAATAACGATTTCTAATCTGTAGCTTCATTCATTGGACCTACTGTATTTTACTTTTTTTTTTTACAAAACAGTTTCCTATTGCATTTAGTTTCTGTCTATGGTTTTTGTCTTGCTGACGAATTACCATCGCACCATCTTTTTGAATCTTGACATCATCGATATGGAAGATTATACAGATTTCTATTTGGATAAAATGAAACAATAAGATAAAATGAGAGAAATGAGCGACAGACTTTTCTGACGACTTCTGATTTTGACCAGTCAACCGCAGCACAAGGTTCAAGTCAAAGTCCGGTCTTTTTGTAGCAATTTTTTTTTACTAATGTATGCAGAAAATCAAAATCAATGTATTGATTTTATTTTGTCATTTCCATGAACAGGGCTGGTTTAATTTCTTTTGTAGCTATTATTAAATGTACTGCTTAATTGTGATTGTGTCCAAAAAAAATTAATACATATAGCTTCTGGTTCGATTGCCAATTTGTAACCACTATGTCTTTTTATTTGTTCAATTCTTTGAGTCAATCGTTCTGTGCCTAAGCTTAACTTCCATCTTTTGTTATGTGAGGGTCATTATATTACATTCAAACAATAAAATGTAAATATTTGTACCTCATTGGACGTTGGTCGCCATCAGTGTCTGTCTATTTTTAAGGAGAAAAATAATGTCTTTTTGATTATACCATGCTTACAGTATTTTCCGGACTGTAAGTCATGCTTTATTTCATCCTTTGGCTGGGTTGCGACATTTACTCAGGTGTGACTTATATTTTAAAATATATAATTTCCCGTGTTTGATTTTTTTTCACACTGACAGCCACTAGAGGGCACTCTAGGCTTATGTACCAGTATCTGCTACTCCTGTGCCACTGAGAAAAATGTACGTTTGTTATTTTCACTCTGACAGCCGCTAGAGGGCACTCTAGGCTTATGTACCAGTATCTGCTGCTCCTGTGCCACTGAAAAATGTACGTTTGTTATTTTCACTCTGACAGCCGCTAGAGGGCACTCTAGCTCGCTGGTATGACTTATTCTCCGGAGCGACTTAGTCCGAAAAACAAGGTAATTTCCCAGCATACACCTTTGTTAATCTGCTTTCTTTCTTTGCTGTGTAATTTTCCTAATGTTTCTGTCACCTTTTTTTTATAGCGCGTGGACAGTGTGTAGCTCGTCACTTTGTGCTTCTCTGTGTAAAGAAAGTGTTGCTTCATCTGCTCCACAGCCACTAGAGGGCACTCTAGCTCGCTGGTACGACTTATTCTCCGGAGCGACTTTCCCAGCATACACCTTTGTGTGTTTTTTTTGCTTTGGCCGTACTGTAGTTGAACTTGATGCTGGGTAATTTTCCTAATGTTTCTGTCACATTTGTTACCAGCGCGTGGACAGTGTGTAGCTTGTCACTTTGTGCTTTTCTGTGTAAAGAAAGTGTTGCTTCATGTCTACTTTGTTTCTTTTTGTTTGAACAATAGCTCGTCTGTTCTCCGTGGATCTTTGACGAAGGTGAGCAAGATCGAAACCTGGCACTGATTCCCTCTGTGTGTTCAGCAGCCTCCACCCTACGTGTATTTGTCTGTCTGTGTGTGTTCGCATTAGAGAGAGAGAGAGAGAGAGAGAGAGAGAGCAGTAAACACATTTAGGATTGTAAGTAGCTACAGATACATTTTGACAATTGTCTTGATTTACCATTTTTTTATTATATTTTTGTCTTTAGGGCTGAGTTATCTGCACTACATATTATATGTAATATTACATTTTAAACTAATTCTAACAGTGACCCTTGAAGCACTGGAAAGTAGGGATGACCGATATTAATTTTTTGCCGATATATATGTCAACACATTGATATGTTTCAAACACTTAATTTCTAATTCCGATATCAGCCGATTACGATATACGCCGTTGTTTTACCCCAAAACTGCGATAAACATCTCAGTACCCCGATAGTGATTCAAGCATTTTTTGCGTTACCAGGCTTTGCGTTATCGGGTTTTAATTATCGATAACGATTCTTACAGATATTATATAATTATGCTAACATCGGGCCGATATTATCAAACCTCACTACCGGAATGTCCTGTGCTTTTTTGTGGGTTGGTGTCTCGGAAATTTTCATCTTATTTTCTCTCTCTCTCTTTACAGAAGAATCCAGATAAAAACAGAAATGAAAAACTGACGCAAACACTCACACATTTAGATCACACTTCTTTTACCACCTTCCTACCTTGACTTCTTTAAGCCCTTTCTATTTTTCTTTTCTCCTTCTAAATGAGAGGTCGAAGGGTCTTCGACCTCTCTTTTTTTCATTTCTTCCTGCTTCTTTTCTCCTCCATTTTCTCCCACATGTCCTTTTCCATTTACACCTTACGATTTCACATATATCCTTTTGCATGCCGTCTACATTTTTACTATTCCCTATTCCTTTTTATCCTCTCCCTGTACTCCTGCCGCCACCTTTCCTTTCCCTCTTCTTCCTCTTCCTTCTCTCTCCCATCTTCTCCTTTCTCTCAATTTTTGGAGGAGGTAAATGGGAGTACGGCAACCACACCTGCGACGAATCACAGTCTGCTCTCCGGTTAATACTGGAGCCATGGCAACCTCTGGAGGTTTCTATGGCAACTGGTTTGTTTTTACATATGTGCACGGTGTAACAGACAGAGAGGAGAGGTTAATGATGGGAGCCTGTTATCATTCCTGTGATAGAGGAACACAAATAACTACGTGGTTTTGTAAACGCGAACCCTAAATGACAGCAGTTGTGTTTAGTTCATTCTGGTCCTTAAGGATCAACATTCACATTAATATTAATGTTTAACAATGTACAATTATTATTGTTTAAAATTAGTGAATGAAGAAGTAGTGTTGGAAGAAAAAAAAATCAGCTTCTTATTTGATGTAGAAAAGTGAAGCTAAATATGAGTAGACACAGCACAGTACGTTGATTGCAGGATTGTCCAATGGGATTGTGACAAAAGGTAAACGGCGATGTTATGTCCAGCGTGCCATATTCCATTGGAATATGACTCAGTTCTAAAGTACTTTCCCCGCTAGTTAAGAAGTACTGAGTTTAGAGGAAAGACTCCATAGATTAGAATGTGTAAAACATTGTGCTAATTAGTTCAAATAGAGTTGGAAAAGGGAGAAGGAGGAGGAGCAGCTTTTCATCTCGAATTATCTGAAGTTAATTCCGTGTGTGTGTGTGTGTGAATTTGTGAAAACACGAGGGTTTGTTGTGGAACGTCACAGAAACCTCTGAGAAATCTCTCTCTCTGCCTCCTCCTCTCGGTCACTCTCTCTCTCTCTCTCTCATCCACCCTCCCTCCCTGTGTGTTTACGGTCTAAACCTCACGTATATTTCCGATTGTACCACCTGGCGCATAGAATAGGTACTGCATGCTGATGCAGTTTTTTTTTCTATTCCACAGTCAATAACTTTTTAAAGGGGAAACGAATTACAATATGTTAAAACTAACATTTCTACTGCTGCCTGCTGCGGTCACTATTTCTCAATTTAGAACAGTGGTGGAGGACAAGACACATACCCGATACATATAAAACGGGTGGGGTTCAGTACCGCCAACAAGGTTAAGAACCACTGATCTAGAACAATCTAGAACAATTTGTTCATTGGCTGTTCCATGCCAATTAACAAATTGCGGAAGTAAGCGGGTTAAACGTCGTTTGTTTAAAACTTCAGTCTTACAAAAGAAATTGGGTTTAACTTACGCTTCACAGCATGGTTTACTTTGTATCTTTTTTAGTTTTTATTGATAATAAAAAGTACAATTCCGTAAAGTAATAAATGGCCGAGTTCAAAGTTAGCTCCAGACTTTCTAACGTGGAAGTCAAATGAATTACATCTGTTTTTAAACATGTGGTTTTTATATGTTCTCGTTCACACTTTTTGGACTTTTCTTTTTTTTTATATACACATTGTAGGAATTGGAGGAAACGAGTTGGTGTAGATAGAAAGGAAAGCTATTACTTGGTGAGTGTTAAACGAATTAAAAAAGGAACATTTTAAACTCTTAAACAAATGGTCTGTAATTGAAAAAATATTATTATAACGCCTTTTATAGTCGCCAAAAGACATTTTAATTCTGATTTTCTACCAGTAGGTAGCGCAAAAGACCATGAAAGTAACGTCTGACTCCTTCTCCCCAGCCCCAGAACAATTACTTTCAGTGTAACAGTTTTCAATTCTTAATAAAACTGTAGCGAAAACAATAATAATAAAAAATAAATATCTGTATTTTATCACATTATGTGAATGTGTTTTAGTTTTAATCTCTGTGTCTGACTGCGCCACCTCCTTCTCTCTCTCTCGCTCTCTCTCTCTCCCTCTCTCTCCCTCGCTCTATCTTTGTCTCTCTCCCTCTCGCACACACGCAGACTCAGTTCAGATTCAGTTCAGTGCGGGTGTCCGTCTGTGTTCTGCGCAGATTTCGTGTCAGAACCTGTGGCTGTTGGAGAAATATCAGCGGTTCTGCTTCAAGGACCGACGAAGGTTCCTCGTCGTCGGCGTGTGCCTTTATCTGTGGATCCGTTTGTGCCGCAGCGGTTAGGGCAACGACTGGAGACGTTGCAGACGCCGAGAACGTGACACGAAAAAACTGCAGAAACCCCCAGAATCTACTGTGGAACCACAACAGGTACCAAAAAACCTACGACACTGCGCGAGGAGCCCATACGACCGCAAGGTACCGATATCGCATTGCAGGAAAGGTACGGTGATTGTACCGCATAATCAGAACCGACAGCCAGAATACACCTCGGGACACGAAAGGGCCACTAAAGTACTGGAAGATAACGACAGGCACTTGGAAACGTGTTCCAGACCACCTCGAGGGCCTTGAAGTGGACACTGAAATCAAAATTTTATATCCAAAACACACCACGCACTGGAGACCCAAAATGGCACTGCTGAATACACAACCTCAGTATAAACACCAGGTACTTGGGACCTACTAAAAGCTTCAGAGATCACGAGGGCATCCGTCCGGACTGTCCAGGCCAAGTAAGAACTTATTTAATTTCTTTGAAGACGAAACCTCGTCTGACTGATCTCTCTCTCTCTGAAAGGTTTTTGATAAACCTTTAAAAAGTACAAACATCATGGGCAACGGCGTGTCCAACTTCTCAGCCTTCCAGTCTCTTCACATAGTCATGCTGGGTCTGGACTCCGCAGGTAAGACCACGGTCCTCTATCGACTCAAGTTTAACGAGTTTGTCAACACTGTCCCCACCATTGGCTTTAACACTGAGAAGATCCGTCTGAGCAACGGAAATGCCAAAGGCATCAGCTGCCATTTCTGGGACGTTGGGGGTCAGGAGAAGCTGCGGCCGCTCTGGAAGCCTTACAGCCGCTGCACGGATGGTATCGTCTACGTAGTGGACTCGGTGGACGCCGAGCGTCTGGAGGAGGCCAAGACTGAACTACACAAGGTAACCAAGTTTGTGGAGAACCAGGGAACGCCCCTGCTGGTCATAGCCAACAAACAGGATCTTCCCAAGTCCCTGCCAGTGGCCGATATCGAAAGGCAGCTGGCTCTGCACGAACTGGCACCGGCCATGGCATACCACGTCCAGCCGGCCTGCGCCATCATCGGTGAGGGGCTGACTGAAGGCATGGACAAACTGTACGAGATGATTTTAAAGAGGAGGAAGTCCCTGAAGCAGAAGAAGAAGAGGTAGACGATGAGGATTTATTCACTGGATGATGCTGTGAAACGCTGATGCTTGATCATAAACAAGGCTGCAGGTTTTTTGTAGTTTTTTTTTTTATAAACATTTAACACCTAACGAATATGGGCAAAACCAGGCTGGTCCTGTTTTTAGATACTTAAAGAGGTTTTTTTTTTTTTTTACACTGACGCGTGTCTGTGAGGTTACGTTGAATTACTGCAAAGATGTAAAATGACAGTGTTTAAATATCTGTTGAGTAAAAAAAGGGGTCGATTTAGTTGTAGCTTTGAGTGGGCGCCCCCATCTGGGGAAATGAGCTGCAAGCATGGAGGCTGTTTTCTAAGTGAAATAAGGACAACAGACAACGGACCTAGCTTATAGAGTTGTCAAATGACATAAAATCTCCCAGAAATCTTATCGGAAACTGAAGTTTAGCTCTTCTGCTGCCTCAAGTGGTTAGATCAGGCATGGGCAAACTAAGGCCAGGGGGCCAGATGTGGGCCCGTTCAGCTTTTTATTCCAGTCGGCCAAACTTTTCCCTGCAATATCCACATTTCCCCAATAGATGGCGTAGAAAATGATAAAAGCATTTTTTGCATTTTAGCCTTTATGCTTGACTTTTACATGTCATTTATCTTAGTTCCACACGCTAACGCTCAATCCATCTCCATCTTGACCCGGCCCCCGTGTCCAGTTTTAGGACCAATCTTGGCCCACGAGTCAAAAAGTTTGCCCACGCCTGGGTTTGATGATGTCACTTTGACAAATCGAAATGAAGGATTTCAAACTCTAAACTATAAAAAAAATAGATATTTGATCTCAATAGATGTGGCAACACTTCACGAACTATGGTGTGAAAACTAGAAGTTGCATTCATTGTTAAAATCTTCTAGTTTTTTTTTTATATATATATATATTTCAAATGATAACTAAAACTTGCTGGATGTTGGTGTTGGTCCCTTTGGTTCGTAGCAGAGTTACCCGATGCCAAGTCTTTCTGTGAGACGAGACTGAGTAAAGGACAAACGTAGATGACCTGAAGACTGTTTACCTGTTTATGTAGCCTCTCTTTGCACGATGTCGCGTTCACGTGTGTCTATCGCTATGCATTTCCATGTGGCTGCATAGAGAAACCGAACAATACTGTATCACCGTAGGACCCGATCCAGGTACTTCATGTACAGAGCAAAACAGAAATTTTAAAAAAAGTATTTTTTAAATAATTAAAAATATTGTTCAATTCAACGTTATCACTGTTTTTTTTTTTGTTTTTTTTTTAAAATTTAATTTCTACTTGGTTGGAGTGCTGTAGCGGACATATTTTTTTGTTTTTTTTAATTTTTTTTAAATTTAATTTGTACTTGGTTGGAGTGCTGTAGCGGGCATCACATTCCGAATTGAGAGGAATCAGAATCAGCTTTATTGGCCGAGTATGGGAACATACAAGGATTGTGACTTCGTTTTTTTTTTTTTTTTTTCTTTTGCTCCAATGTACAAATAACAACACAAAGTAACACAGTTCAACACAGTGCAAAGTAACACAATTCGACTCAGTACAAAGTAACACAACACAAAGTACATAACAGGGCAACCAGAGTTCAGAGTGCATATATTGACATATATATTTGTATATATTTTTTTCATGTATGTGCAAACATAAATATAAATATTAAAGTGAGAAGCGGATGAGTTGGTACATTTGGACTCTGTGGTGAGGTTTAACAGTAGGGTTCCATACTTTTGCTTTACAAAAAAAACACATCTCGAAAAGACATAGATCTTTGAGCTGCAGTTTCTTGGAAGGCAAATGACGACGGTGTTAAAGATGAGCTCTTCCTGTGGACACACCGCTGGAGCTTCTTTAAAAATAGGCCTGGAGCTCCCGACAGGAAATTTATGGATCTGCAGTGCAGCACTAGCAGCAGCAGAGGCATGTGTTTCTGCTGGGTTTTACAGCAAGGGGGGGGGGGCAATACTGAGCTCTGGCTGTCTCCACTACAGCATAATGGCATTCTTAAGACGTGAGTGTAAATTCCAAACCCTTACATTCTGCAAAAACAACAGCTAATTTTCCACGAAAGAAATTTTTTTTTTTTTTTAAAAGCTGTAATCACTGTCCGACACCTTGGTCGTACACAGGAGCCGTTGGTCCTGTTTTACGACACCGAGGTAAATCTGAAATTTCAAATAGAAAATTCTTAAAATAACATAGTGGAATTGGGTGATTGAGGCAACAAGTGTGTGCTAAAAAGTTTTGCCCATTGTTTTGGGCAATTTGCTAATAAGTGGCTAAATTCTGGTTACATTCTGTCATGTCCATGCTGGTAAACATGTTTCCCCAGAGGTCAGTGTGTCACCCACCACCCACTGTGTTTTTTGGTTTAATGGTTTTACTGCCTGGTTTTAGAGGAGTTGGTTTTGGGGGGGGGGGTGGTTCTTTTTTATTTTTCTCTGCAGCTGTGAACTTAAAAAAGGAAAGAATGTGATGTTTTCAGATGACTGACAAAAAAAAAAAAAAAAAATCAATCCTCACTTACCATGTATTTATTTCTGCACACATGACACATTGTTTTTGAAAATACCACATCTCAACGAAGACTAGAAGACTCTGTCCCTGAATAACAAAATAATTTCCCATCATTGTTTGCCAAAAACCTGCGTGAGTGCGGAGTCTGCTCTGGGCTTTGTGAACAGTTGTCGTTTAACTGCGAAGTGACAGCCATTGGAAGCAAAGGGGATGGGGGTTGATAAGGTCAAAGGTCAGATGGAAGCCTGGCTCAGTGTGTGAGAACGAGAACAGACTAACTGCTGCCGTGTCGCAGACACAGTGGGAGGAGACGGTGTGGACATTCATTACCTAGAATGTTTCAGCAAACTGAGAGGAAACAACACTCCAGACCAGGGGTGTCCACACTTTTTTGGTTTGGGAGCTGCCTTGCAAACAATCAGGCTAAAGTGATCTACCTACCTTGTAAAACTTTAAATATATATTTTTACTCACATTTACTGAATATACCATATTATATAAATCATTTTGATTAAATTACTGTAGTTGGACAGTTTAATTTTTTCATTTTTTATTTTTTAATATTTTTTAATTTTAATTTTTTAATTTATTATTTTTTTTTTTTTTTTTTTTATTTTTATTTATTTTTTTTTTTAGAATAATTAAACATTTTTTAAAATTATTTATTTTTATTTTTTATATTTTTAATTTTTTAATTTTTTTTAAATTTTTATTTTTATTTTTATTTTTATTTTTTTATTTTTATTTTTTATTTTTTTAGAGAACCAGTGATCTGGTTCTGCAGCAAGCATTCTAACACCATTTTCCAAAGTCTGGACCCGTCATAAACCAGTAGAGAAAATATTATCTGTGTTGGAAAAGAAAGACTAATACTTAGAAAAAATTGGTCAAAAATTACAATGATAAAAATCCTATCAAAGAGTAAACTGATCGTACAAAAATTCTGGACATATCCTAAAAAAATGTAAGCAAAAAAGAAACTTCTCGTAAGCCAAATTTTTTTTTTCTTTTCTGTTGATGTCAAGGTAACAGTGTTTTCCGCAACACCCAACAGTCTGCTAGCATTCGCTGGAGTTTTTGGTCCAGTGTTAACGTTATTCTGACCGTGAACACGTCCCTCTTGTGTGTGGCTGTGAATAAGTGTCGAGAAGACTTGAAGAAACACTCTGTGTTTAAGGAGGGGGGGTGGGGAGTGGGGGTGGGAGGGTCGAACCCACATTCCTACATCCATGGAAAAGCCACTCAGCCACCGTCAACTGGATAAGAAGCAGCTGACCGGGAAAAAAAAAAAACACAAAATAGTCAAAAATTAGCACTTTTTTTTTTTTTTTAATCCCAACAACAATGGATGTGTTGACCCGTCCTCCTCTGAGAGAGAGCAAGCAATGAGAATAAGAACCAGCCTGACACACGGGACAGAGACGGGATCTCGGTGAAAACATGGCTGCCACAAGAAAAAAAAAAAACACAAAATAGTCAAAAATTAGCACTGTTGGATTTATCAGTGAATTAAAGTGCGTCATTTATAGCATATGATGTTTAAAGCAGAGGTCCCAACCCCTGGTGCGGGGACTGATGCTGGTCCATAGGTCATTCAGTGAAACACAAAAAAAATGTACGTCAGTTTTACTAATTTACTTCATTCAAAAAAAGAATCCAGTCATATCACAACTTTTTTTTTATTTAAAAATAATCTGACAATGTTTCAAAACCAATCATTCAGACTCTGATACTGACAAAATAAAGTCTGAAAGATGTTTTATTTTGAAAATTTATTACGGGTCCACGGTAACGGCTGATACTGACCGACCGGTCCTTGCTACAAAAAAGGTCGGGGACTGCTGATATAAAGTACTTTATACCGTTTTATCATGATATTCAAGAACTAGCCACACGAGGCAGTGGAGGACTGGCGCTCCTGATATGTTTTTTTTGTGTTACGATAGACGAAGAGAGAGTGAAAAGATTTAGAAACATCACCTTTTTTTTTTAAATATTCTATCGATTTTAGCTGAGGAGTAGTATTTCTTACAACAACAAAAAATAAAGAAACGACGTTAACGATTTTTATCTACGTCCGACAAACTAGCGACGCTCAGTGTTGACCGCGTTATCTTTCAACCGTCGCAATGTGTCAGGGTGTGGTTTTTACATACTCCAGATGGAGACATCTCCCCCCACCCCCTACTCCTCCTACTACTTCTGGAGCTCTCCTGACCTCACCACACAAAAAAGTAAGAGTAGGGGGGGGTGGATGGGGGTCACTTTGTCTCTTATGTCAGACCCGAGTGTCTGTCGCGCTCCCTTCTTTTCCTCCTCCTCCTCCTCCTTCTTCATATCCAGGCCTGCAGAGACCCCTGACTTGACCTCTTCCTCCCTCTCGATCCTAGGAACTGCTGTTTGTACCTGCATAGTTTGGCAAAACAGCTGGTTTTTTTTCCCCTCTTCTTTTCTGTCTCAAAGACTGACGCAGGTTTATTCTTCAGTGCTTCACACATTTAAGACAACTCCAACTCATTCCACTGGCCTGAATTCACAGGGGGAAAACCTGAGATTGGAGCTCGACCCAGAAACACAGACGAACAGGGGTTTGAATGAGCTGTGACTCAAGGCAGTAAAATGATGAGAGACATCATTTCACAACGAACAAGTCTAGGTTTGCTGGGTTTGTTTTTAACCTCTTTTTAGCGGAGTTACTTTCAGTTTTTTTTCTTTTTTTGTTTTGTCAATTTGATTTGTAAATGTTACCACATTCGGGAAACATGAATCAGCATTGTCTTATATAAATTGGATTCGATTTATATAAAACAATGCAACAATGTAATTGTAAATTTTTTTTTGTTTTTTTTTTACTGAGAAAGTAGATGTAAATAAAGACTCCTGAGACCCTAAATAAACATTTAATGTAATATTTTAGTGTATTATATATATATATATTATATTTATATATTATATATATATATATTTATATATATATTTATTCTATTCTATTATTCTATTCTATTTATTCTATATATATATTTAGTCTATATATATATATATATTTATATATATATTTATTCTATTCTATTTATCTATATATATATTTAGTCTATTTATATATATATATATATACTGTATATATATATATATAAATATATATATTTAATGTTTTCTGAAAAATGAAAAACGTTAGCTAGACAAGCTGAACAGAAAATGAAAGACATGAATGTACGCCTGTGGTTTTTAGGTCCAGTAAATGCTGTAAACAAATGAAACAGGATGTGATGAATCTGGTATGTTGGGTTGGGGGTGGTAAGGGGGAGGGGGGGGGCCGGGGGGGGGGGGGGGTTTCATAATTATGAACTTGGGTTCACAAAAAAATGTTAAAATATCCACTTTTAATTAGAACAATCTCAAAGAAAAGAGAGTTTTTTTTCCCTACGATCCTGTCTGGCTGTGAACGTGCGCTTGATTACTCGCACAAATGCATGGACGTATCTGAGTCCTGCGTCATCGCCGCGCACCCTCATGTGGCAACATTCCATGTTGAAACTGCTGATTTCCTGAAGCCTCATCCATGACTGGAAACAGATGAGGAGATAAAGGTTGGAATTAAATATCCTCTGAATGAGACACGGTGTTACAATCCTAAATCAACTAGCGTGCCTGTCGGCTATATTTTTTTTTTAAAAAAAAACAAACTTTTGTTGTTTAACGGTAAAGCCAACATTGTGAT